GTTTCCAAAATGAAAAGAGGTGAGTAGGGCAACTTTGTTTGATTCAGTACATGAGCAATATCTCAGCAAATAGAAAAGATAGGAGGTTCTTATTTGATATTGTAGCTTGTCAATATTGGTAATTTGAGTTTCTAATTCCTTAGAAACTATAGACTTTGTATTTGGGCATCACAATCATCTAATTTGAACCAGTGCAGCATTCAACATATCACGTGACAATTAAAACTCAATGTTTAGCTTTTTTTAATATTTACTTTTAAATTAAGAAATTAACTAATAGATCATACTAATATTTCAATTATAATCTATGATTTGATAACAAAGATATTGAAATACATTCATAAAATAGTAGTTCAATAAAATTTTGAATGCGAGTCAACAAACACGATATTACACGGCCTTTGATCCATGACCCATAGCAATAGGGTTAAGGATTACTCTCATCTTACAATACACACCAAATCATCATCCTAGAAAAAATATTGGCAAGATCCTAGTAATGGAAATAGTTAGAAGACTGAACCACTACAACCATCATCATTAGCATGAAAAATCTGACAAAATGCTGCTAATACACGAGAATGCTATGAAGCTGGTCAGAACACCTTGGCAATAACTTTAGATCTTGAATATATTAACAATAGAGGCCAGCTGCCATTCTTTCTAACAACATGCTCTGAATTGGCATCACTTAGCATCTGTAAGATGGGTCGTAGCAGCACTAACTATCAAAAGATGCATACGAGACATGGAAACTGGCAATCAATATTAGTCTGCCTCAAGAATCATCACTTTTGCCAGTCCTCTTCATCATCTATACCAAGGATCTAGTCCACCTTTATTTTTATTACCTTTTATTGTCAATAGGTCTAAAGAATTTGCTATAGAGAACAATGAAACATAAGTATCAAGTAACTTCAATTGGCATACAACACAGTTTACAGAGAAGTGACATTCTTTTACTTAAATGCACTTTATATTAAGAAAACAAAAAAACATTATAACTAAGGATTAATCTAATCACTGACTTACCACAGATATTTTTTCCATACTTATGGATCAGAGCAGATTCAACCTCTTCATGTATCCTTCTATATTTGTATTAAAATTGAGTATAAATACACATTAGAAACTGCACAATGTGAGCTTCAGCCAAAGCTGTACATACTTTTAATGTTTTTAGAATTTGGTTGACAGTGTATAACAATGACTTATTTATCTCAATATGGACAGTACTTAGCATTCTAATAAAACAATTCAGGCATTACATTTTTCTTCGAGAATATGCTGAATCAAATGTGTGTTTTAATTCAATACTTTAAACAATTCTATAGTGAAATTTACAGGTTTCACCTAATGCTACTAAACAATTATGCCTATATTGAAACAGAATCCTAAATTGAAAATCAAAATTTTTAATTTTAAAGTTCTATTCTTTTCCACAGTAAATATAATAAAAAAATACTCTGAAATATTCTTAGTCTTACCTACTGTAATCCTGTATTGTAACAGTCTGTGAATCTTGTGTTACAACAGGGCTATGAATAAAATATACCTACAAAAAATTAGTTAAATAAAAGTATTTCAATATCAGTTAAAATTTAAAGCGTCTAAAGAGCTATGAAAACTTAGTATAGATTTCAAATAGTTTAACATAAATACAGCTAACAACATAAGAATATTTTTTCTTCAAGTCACGGTCAGTCTGTGCTACAGTTTCTAACACCAATGCCAAATGAATGTGGTTCAGAATAGTTTGCTGTCTCTGAACTTGACAGAATTGAGTAAGGCAAAATTAACAGACATAAATTACTCTGCTGAGGTTTAAATTGATATTTTGCTCAAACTAAAAGTAGAAAAAAATGATTCACAGAAATCATTCAATTTTGCTAAACATGAATATGAATATAACTTTGAAAATATTAAGAAAAATATGGAGATAAAAAGCAAAGTTTAATTAATTGCAGAACTAACAAAAGCACAAATATGTGAAAGGAATCCGCTAAAACAAATTTTCACATGTAAAGAAAAACTGTTAAAAAAGATATATAAATAGAATAAAGACAGCCAATAGTGTTTAAATTGGAATCTGTAAATGAAACCACACGATCATATATATCAGTGTTTAAAAACTTTTTGTAGACGAAAAGTAAAATTGTAGGAAAAGTCTTGTGATAAATTATTAAATAAATCAGACTGTAAACACTAAACAAAACTAGGAAAAAACTAAAATCATGATTATTCATAACAAGATAAGATTTTGAACTTGAAAGTGAAATGTTAAGGAAATGGTTAGATTATGGTTTTAAATTTGCAGTGCTTTTAGAAATACTATTAAGGTGTGTGTCATTAAGCTTGGTGCTCTTGAAGTAGCTGTAGAAAAAATATCCTAACTTATAATAATTGTAATTAAACAATTAAGATAGTGGAAGAGGGATATTATTAAGCAAAAACATATCCTAAAACAGTATGAACAGATATAAAACAGGGCCATGAACCAAGATGAGGGAGAAAAAAATATAATATTTTTTACTCGATGGAAACCTAGTCATGGAGAAACGTCACTGGTTTAAGCTTAAGTGGTGCAGTATGAGACTGTCACAGTGTATCATAAGGCATTTTCATGAACTGTAAGAATTAAAAGTTATCTCCCAAAACACACAAATATTGACAATTTGATCAGAAAAATCCAAAATGTCAATATAATGTTCACAATCTACAGAAATTTGATTTTCTACAACTGAAAGAGTTAATAATAATCAGTTTTTGAACTTTTACTATAGAGCTCTAATGTTGTTTAGCTTCTATAACTATTGTTTGAAATCACATAAAAATTAACATTGAAATGTAGGCACAGATGTTGTACTGATATTAAAATACTAAAATTATATAGAAACAGATGCAGAGATAATAATCCAGAGGTTTAGTACACTATATTAAGACAATTTTGGCACCTCACTATGTTGTTATGGTCCATCTCTGGTCACACACTTCATCTGACAACTATAAATCTTAAGAATAGCCATTCCATTGCAATAGGCTCTGTCATAAAGTTGTCATGTCTAAAGCACACCCATACTCTATGCTTGTTATCCTTCAGCCATCTAGTGTATGAGAGTGACTGTTTTCCAGCACTCAATTCAACAGTTTGCTCTCATAGAAATCCAGTATGTGTTTGTATGGAATAGCATGATTGCTCATTTCATTCTCTAACTGCTTGAGGTTTCTAACTGTTGAACAAATATGTCATGGAGGCAACTTTTTCACACATAACTTGTGTTGCTCTTTCAGACAGAAATCGTTCTTGATTAATCATTTTGCATACTGTTCCATAGGGGAAATGGATGGTTTGGCCATTGACCTTAGTGTTTGTGGATTCTCAGCTGTTATAAGATGCCGCACTTTTCTTATCATGGCTGGGGTACAACTTGCTGCAAGCCTCCTTTTAGATGGTCTTGCTGATGTGAACATTCAAAATCATTTATAATATAACATATATAACCCTCTGTATCAACATACAAATTCAAGAGTATCAAGTATCTCATATAGTAGTCAATTTACACATTTTTGTGGACAACGAGATACATCTACACTCGAATAGTGAAAGGAGAGCCATACTTCAGATCTAATGGGAGGTGTACTTCTCATCAGAATGTAATGATATTTGAAGAACATACAGTCAGTTGTTGCATAGTTATACCATCATGAAATATGATATCTTTCCACACACTCATCTACACTCGAATAGTGAAAGGAGAGCCATACTTTAGCTCCAATGGGTGGTGTACTTCTCATCAGAATATCATGATATTTGAAGAATATACAGTCAGTTGTTGCATAGTTATACCATCATGAAATATAATATCTTTCCATACACTCATCTACACTCGAATAGTGAAAGGAGAGCCATACTTCAGCTCCAATGGGTGGTGTACTTCTTATCAGAATATCATGGTATTTGAAGAATATACAGCCAGTTGTTGGATAGTTATACCATCATGAAATATGATATCTTTCCATACATGGAATTGGTGACCAAAAGTATAATTAACAGCAAGAGTACCCAAATTATGAACCAAAGAATTGTAATCAATATAAGAAAGGAAAATATATTAAATTAGCTTTCGTCATTACTTGGTTAATTTTTAATCATGGATTGGAAAAATATTAAATTGATGAATAAGGCTGAGGTTAAGTGGGAACTAAATATTACAAAATAAGAAGAAATTGAGAAAAACAAAAATATTATTTTGAATAAACATGGTAGTCCTGGTGTGTTAGAAATGTAATACTGGAAATCTGTTTTGTAAGTTCTTCAGGAAAGAATTGTGTTTGAAGTCAAGATGACACTGAGTGTGTAATGCAAGATTATGTAAATCAGAAATGATACAAATATACAAGTCAGTATCTGAATTTATTACTCGTGATGGTGTAGTACACTACAGAAACATGTAGTCTTATTAGGGCTGTACCCTGTTTTTAAGAAAGCTTATTTGCAACTATTTAACAATGTATGTTCATTTTCAGTATTTTTACCTATGCACAAGTGCTATTTAATTCATTTATTTAAGTAACAAGCCTTTCTCACTGCAGTCCAAGTGTAATCTCCTTTAGTCTCTTAAAAATGGCAGGTACTTTACATAGAACAAAATGAATGGAATGATGCAGAATTCGTACAATTCTTCCTAAGCACTGAAAGCAGTCTTAGAGGTCTATTTTCACTGTCCATAATTAGTAGTTTTAAACAAAAGGAACCAACTAGTACCAATGATGGTTAGTCTCGGCATACTTTTCATTTACAAGTACAAAAAATTATTACAGCAAACACATTCTTACTGAGAAAGACCACTTGTCTGTTTATGGAATTTTAAACAAAGCTAATCAAGACCTAAGTGTACTATTTGTTCCAAATAGTGACAGACTAGAGGGAAGGCAGCTAGTCAACACCTTTCACCACCAATGTTTGGATTACTTTTGTCAGATTTAATAGTGGGACATTACATGTAATCTTATAATGCACCATAACCCCAAACTTTTTTCCATACAGTAATGGGATACAAACCACAAAACTTATGGCACACTAACCACAAGGACACACATGGTTAGGAAACACCCAAGCTGCTTATCTAGTTACATATGATCAGGGCCCCTTTACTGACAGTTATGGGATAGTCACAAGGACAAAACGTAATATTGGCCAGGATAGACAGATGGATTTGGTGGTTAGATACTAAGATGAACAGTCCAATAAAGCCTCTTTTTGATACTTACATAGCTTCAACTTTTCTTAGCTGCTTGCTGAGGATCTTCAAGGAAGACTTGTTTTCTTTTTCTTGTTAACTAATTGTAAGTCTCAGTAAACAACACTGATATAAACTTCAAATCTCAGAGAAATTTAAAAGTGTGTATGAAAACAGGTAGCTTTGAGAATATTTAAGTTATACTGTTATGCTCTATGCATTTGAAACAGGACAGAGCTGCAGGGTATAACTTTAATGCACTAATGAGAGGGCTCTAAAGCCTATTCAAAGAAAGTTCTGGCCATTGTGTATATTATGTATCAAAAACTAAAAAAATTCAGTGCTTCCAAAGAAGTTTTACAAGGTTTGTCGTGTTAAAAATGTATTCAAACCAAATAAAGAACCATAAGAATTTCCTGTCATAAAGAGTATAGCAAAGAAAATAATAAATTTTATAAAGATAATAATATTTTCCATACTAATCTAGCAATGTCCAAATGTAACTGAATTATTTGAAAATAAAAAAGTTCAAAGTTAAAATGTTTCAGCACTTCTTGTTTGACAGTTTCTGTTCAACTTTCACTGCAAGTCTTCAAGGAGTTTTCCTTCTCTCGTACAGCTTTCCTCAGGGAATTGAACATTGCAAGGAGACTAAAGTTTCTTTTTTTTTCAGCTTTCTCAAAGTTTTCATCAGCTGATGAAAGGAGCTGTTTAATGTCAGACTCAAGTCTGATCTTATGTTTGAGATCTTCCAGTTTCTTCAACTTTTCTCTTGTCACCTTTCTGTGGCTTCTGCTTTCCAAAGTTCTTCTCTTCTAAATATATCCTATACCTTTGTCGTGCATTTCCAACAAACTAAACATTTCTGTACTTACATTCAGGTCACCCAACATCTCTAATGTGGTCAATTATGACTCTCCTAGTATTAAGGGACATGCTTTGTTGGTAATAGCTTCTTCACTTACAGAAAAGCCCCTTTTGAGACAGAGAAAGAACAATGTTGCAAACTCTCCAAAGCATCTGAAATAATTTCTTGTATGACAGGAGATAGAAATATAGAGTATCTAGTGTGTCCTGCTCCCTCTGAAACGTGAACTTTTGAATCACGCAATTACAGGGATGTCTTGGGAAACTCTTTTGTACATCTGAGAATAGTGTCACAGTCCCTTTCTTCTACTCTGCCTGGATTTACCAGACATTTTAAACTAGATGAAAACATAACAGCACTGGGTGGTACATTTAACAACATCACTTCTGGATTTAAACAGCTCATGTTCCTTACCAATCTATAAGTTAAGGGGTACTTCTGAATAAT